TTGGGAGGAGAGGAACAACCTGGCTGGGAATTCGGGACAGGAGAGGAGGCCAGGCAGGGCTGTGGAGGTCTGAGGAGGATTTAGGTTTGGATCCTGGAAGGTGGGAGGCTGGAGGGCTGGATGGGGCCGCTGGTTTTAGGAGGGACACGCTCCTGCTGCAGGGAGGCATGTTGGGCTGTTGGAGTGTTTGCTTTGACTGGCTGAGGCTCTGAACTGGCAAACAGGTGTTGGAAAGGTGTGTTGGAAGTGCTGAGACTTGGGAGCCTCAGTCTCTGTGTGAAAGGGATGCTCCTGAAATATTCACCACTGAGGAGCAGTGGGAAGCGCCAAGGGAGTGTTCAGGGAGCTCACAATGGGGTTTTTTCCTCATTTGTTCAGTTCCCACCATAAAAACTGCTCAGGATAAGCCACAGCACTTCAGCCTGACCCCTCACAGCTGCAGGTGGGGGAAACACCAGAGGGAGAGAGGATAAAGAAGAAAGAGGGGGCAGATTCTGGCATGGCAGAGGGAGAGGTTCCCAATGGCCTGTGCCTTTCATTTACTGCTCTGGTGCCAGGCTGGTGATCCTGGGGGCTCAGATGGAGGGACCGTGAGCTGCTCTCACCAGGGCAAACGTGGCATCATCCCGTGGAGTCCTTCAAGTTTCCGGAGTCCCTGCCCTGGGGTGGATCTGGAATCCTTTAAGTTTCCATCAGAGATAGCAGTATTTCATATTTCTCACTACTAGTGAGAAAGCCAGGAGTATTTCTCACTGCTAATGCACACAACTCCTGTTTGATACCTGCACTGACTGTGTCACATATCAGAGTTTTAGTGTTTTCTGGCGTTTGTTACTTTTCATGCTCCAAAGTAGAACAGCTGCTGGTTCTCTGACCCTGAAGGACCTTCCCTCCAGTGAAGGCACCTTCACATTCCTCAGCAGCAGCTGCCTGTGATTCTCTGTGTCCTCACCACCCTCAGTTTTACTGTTGTGTTTTATTTGCCCCACTCCTGCAGGATCCCAAAGCCAAGGAGTAAAATATCTCTTATTTAATTGGTTTTTTTAGCTGTTCATTATGTATTTTTGTGCAGAATTTTCTCTATTGACATAAATGCAGGTAGTTAATTAAAAAAACCCCCAAACATCTCCCTTCCTTGTGATATTTGAAGGGGACTTTAGTCACACCCCCACCCCATCCCCTGCTTTTTAGTCTTCCCCGGTTTTATCATTTATTTAATTGTCTTCTCCTTGTCAGGTGGAAGATGGGACCGTTTCCCTCGTGTTTTAGGTGAAACCTGGTGACCATGAAGTCCCGAGGGAGATAGAGGGACAGCAGTGGGAATTCCTTCTCACTCCTCTGAAAAAAATCCAACAGTTGCCTGATGGTAAGAAAGCCGTAGGTTTTAATTAGTGTTATATTTACAGTGCTCATTAATCAAGGAACAGATTGAAGAGTTTCAGCTCCAAACCCAGTGGGATGGAGGAGGACACAGCTGTAAATGCTGCGTGTTTGGAGCGGGTGGGAGGGTTGGACTGAGAGTCTGACTGTGCTGTGGTTTGTGCCCTCTCCCCAGGGATTGCCCCTTTGGCTGGCGTCATGGGGAGCTGCTGCAGTTGTCTGTGCACAGACAGCATCCCAGACAACCACCCCACCAAATTTAAGGTAAGTGTTGCACCTTCAACCCCGTCAGAGAGTCTGTGACAGCTCCAGCTGCTGGCAAAGCCCAGCGTGGGCTGGACTCGGGCACGAGAGGAGGGAAAAGCTCTGCTCCCGCACACAAGTGTCACTTGGGAGGATCTGAAAATGTGTTAGTTTTGGTTTGGGTTTGTTTTCCTTTCCTCAAGGAACTTCTGCCGCAAATGTGTTTGTATTTGCTGTGGAAATTGCCTCTGCTTGGAAAATGCAAGGAAATGGGGAACTGGAGAGAAACCTTTTATTGCTGAGGGCCGTGTTCCAGAGCCTGGGCTCAGACACATCAGCTGAGCTGCCAAGCTCGCAGTCTCCAGGGCTGACAGCTCGGCGCCTGCTGCCAGCCATGAATCCCTGCTCTCAGCTGGGAAAAAGGCATCAGTAAAGGGGGGGAATCCATGGAATTACAGTGCTTTGTGGGTGGGCTGCTTTGGATACCAGTTGCACTGGTGAGGGGCACCTGCAGTGCTGTGTCCAGGATGACACTGAGGGGTTGGAGCATGTCCAGGGAAGGGAACGGAGCTGGGGAAGGGGCTGGAGCAGCAGGAGCAGCTGAGGGAGCTGGGGGGGCTCAGCCTGGAGCAAAGGAGGCTCAGGGGGGACCTTCTGGCTCTGCAACCCCCTGACAGGAGGGGGGAGCCGGGGAGGGGTCGGGCTCTGCCCCAGGGAACAAGGGACAGGAGAGGGAACGGCCTCAGGCTGTGCCAGGGGAGGGTCAGGTTGGACATCAGGAGGAATTTCTCCATGGAAAGGGTGGTCAGGCATTGGCAGGGGCTGCCCAGGGAGGTTTGGAGGTGTCCAGGGAAGGCCTGGACGTGGCCCTCAGTGCTCTGGGCTGGGGGACAAGGTGGGGACGGGGCACAGGTTGGACTCGACGATCCCGGAGGTGTTTCCCGGCCTCAGTGGCTCTGGGATTGCAGAGTTTCCTGCCGTGGGCTCCGCAGGTGACGAACGTGGACGATGAGGGGCACGAGCTGGGCTCTGGGATCATGGAGCTGACGCAGCGGGAGCTCATCCTGCACACGCACAAGCGCGACGCCGTCAGGTGGCCCTTCCTGTGCCTGCGCCGCTACGGCTACGACTCCAACCTCTTCTCCTTCGAGAGCGGCCGGCGCTGCCACACGGGGCAGGGTGAGTGAGTGTGGCAGTGCCTCCTGGAGGCAGCGACGCTCAGCCTTCTGTTCCCAAACTTCTTCCCAAACTCCTGGCCCTGGTCAGTCAGCAGGTTCCCCTGCAGCCCCTTGCCCAGGGTACCACAGTGTGTGTGTGTGTGTGTGTGCACATCCAGGGGATGCTCCTGGTTCAAACACCCACGAGACAGCGTTGGGGCTCAGGGCCTGGGTGTGAATCTGGTGGTCTCGTTTTGCTTGGTGCATTGGTGCCCGTGAGGGGGTTGGTGAAGCATTTCTGGGGTGTATTTAATGCCACAGAGGTTGTTACACTGCCAGCGCTGTGCTTCGGTGCCAAAGGATGCCCAGCTGGTAGCAGGACCTTCCTGAGGATCTAGAAAGCACTTTTTGCAAGACTGAAGCTGTTAAGCCTCTTTTAACTCAGGATAAAGCAAAAGGGCATCTCCCACACCTTTTTCCAGGTTCCTCTTAGGATCGTTTGTGTTGGTGGCAACAGTGGTTTGGGCACATTTTGTTTTCCTTGGTGCTTTCCCCCTGCCTTGGTCAGTGCTGGTTCTGCCCAGAGCTTTGCATTTGGGGTCTGGCAGCACTTTGGAACAGAGAGGGAAAGGAGTTCTACGTTTCACTGATGTTATGCACGGGGATGCTGTGCATGGAGGAGGGAAGTGAGTCACCCAGGAGTACATGCCAAGTCATCAGCAGCACTGGGAATAGTCTCCAGTTTTACAATGGTGCCTGTTAGTTCCTTTACCAGTCTGTCTCTCTTGCTTTTAAAGAGCTGAACGTTTTCTTGGCATCTGCATCCCCGGGAAAAAAAAGTTGTTTCCTCAATCTAACAATGTGTTTGTAAACTCCTTCGTATCCAGAAGGACTCACATGAGTGTTCAGGGTCTGTGCAAATCTGCAGTGGCATATGCTCCTTTTTAATATTTACTTAAGTGGGGGTTCCCTCTCCTGGAGCCATGTGCTTATCAGTGGTGGGAGACTGGATTCTGTTTTGCCTGTTGCAGGGTGAGGATCAGTGATTACAATTGAATCCAGTGATTAAAATTCTGCCCCATGTGTGGCTTGCTCTGCTCAGGTCCAGGCAGAGGTGAAGTAGCAAAGCTCTTCACATGCTACAAAATTTGGAGCCAACCTTCATCAGTCTCAAAGCAGAAATGAGAGGGATGATGTATTTTGATGAGTTTTCTCCCTTCCTTGTAGGATTTTACTCTGCTTATTGATTTTATCTGGAGCACTCTTTCCTGATGCTGCTTCCTACCTGACTCAAGGCAGATCCAGCTGTTTTTTTTGGCCAGAACCTTGCAAACCTGGTTCTTTGGGAGCAGCCCTTGTTGCCATGCCATTCCTGTTGCTATGGCTTTGGTGTGTGTGTGTGTGTGCCAGCCTGGGATTGGTTACTGGTCTGGGCTGCTCCTTTGGGGAGACACTCTTTAGTTCCAGGGATTTTTAAAAGTGTGATGTCCTTGTCCCTCCCTCACATGCGCACCCCACAGGGCCCAGCCCAGCTTGGAGGAGGCACTGCCCAGCCTTTCCCTGGCACTGAGGACTGCACTGGGGGCTGGGGGAGTTGACCCAGATCAGAGGTGAAAGGGG